GTTTCTGGGTTATATCATCATGTGTGTTAATGGTCAGTTGTTGTTGGCTGTTGTTGCTTCTCTGTCCAAAGGGCTCCCTTTAGCATCTCTTGTAAGGCTGGTCTGGTTTTACCAAATTCCCTTAATTTCTGCTTATCTGGAAATGTCCTAATTTCACATCATATTTAGGGACAGTTTTGCTGGGTACATAATTCTTGGTTGGAAATTTTTCTCTTTCAGTGTTTTATATATACCATTCCACTGTCTTCTCACCTGCATGATTTCTGTCAAGAAATCTGAGCTTAGTCTTATTGGTTACCCCTTGTAGGACTTTTCATTTTTCTTGGGCTGCTCTCATGATTCTTTCTTTGTCTTTGGTTTTGGTGACTTTGATGGTGATATGTCTTGGTGTTTTTCTTTTGGGGTCTATCCTGTTTGGGGTTCATTGGACTTCCTGAATGGATATGTTCTCATCTTTCATCATATCAGGGAAGTTCTCCTCCAACAAATTTTGGACAATTTTCTCAGTGGTTTCATTTTTCTCTTCCTGTTCTGGAATTCCATGACACGTAGGTTATTCCTTTTGATAGTATCCCACATGAACCTTAGGCTTTCTTCATTTTGTTTTGATCTTTTTTCTGATTGATCCCTTTCCAACAAAGTATTCAGATATTTGTCTTCAATCTCATTAATTCTGTCTTCCATTCCATCAATTCCACTCCTTTGCCCTTTCAATGTGTTCTAATTTTTCATTTGTTTTGTTATTTTGTTCTTATATTTTCTTCCAAAATTCTTCTAGGGTTTTGTCTGTGTTTTCCTTGCTCTGTCTCTCAATCCTGTGAAGATACCTAAATATAATTCTTTTGAATTCCTTATCAGGGAGTTCCAATGCTGCATCTTCCTCAGGGATATGTTCTGGGTCTGTATCCTGGTCCCTTGTTTCTCCTGCTTTATCTTGCTTCTTTGTGTGGACTCTGATGCTCTGTTGTCTCCGAGGCATTGTGATGTTTTTGTGTTTATATTTAATTGGTGATTGTATGTTGGAGTGACTTGCCCACAATTTTTGTTTTCTTTGTTTTGTTTGTATGTTATCTATACAGGCAGAGTACTGTGCTATGCTCCTCTATTCACTAGTTGACAGCACTTATACACTCACCACCTGTCTCCTGTCCTTTGTCAGCCTCTTATATGTCCTTGCCGACCCTGGCAAACAGAGCCAGTTCTTAGGTCCCTGGAATCCAAATGAGAATGCTATCACTTTAAAATCTAAAATAGTTGCCACTTGTAAACATTCAAAATGGCTGCACCCTCGGTCACTTTATATATCCAAAATGGCCACTGCTTGTAAACATTCAAAGTGACTGTGCCCTCTGGACAGTGGGAAGTCAACAGTTCAGGTTGTCTCCCTCCTTGTGGTTTCTCTTCCTAGTCATAGGCCACCAGTGCAGTCGTCGTCCCTGCAGCCCTTGTGACCAGCACTGATCTTTAGGTCAATTCTCAGGTCCCAACACCACTTGGAAATATTCAGGCTGTTGGTCTCGTCAGAGTAGCTGACCATCCACAGCTCTGACCGTCTCTGTACTCACTGTTTTAATTCAGGTTTTTCCAGTAGTTGGTGCCTAATCCACTTCTGTATAGTTCCTTTCAAAGCTCAGGGTTCCAGGATTATCTTCTGTATCTCTTGTCAATTGGTTTTTCTTTTCTTTGTTGAAGAGTGTCTGTGTCGCTTGTCTGCCTATTCCTCCATCTTACCAGAAGGTTCAGCTACTTCATTTTGTACAGCGACTCTCTGTATTCTGCCCATCTTCTCTTGATGCTTCCTGCATTGTTCAGTATTTTGCAAATAGAATCTTTCTGGTATCCACTTTGGTCTTTTCTTTCTTTCTTGTATTTTCATTGACCTTTTGCTTTCTTCGTGTATGGAGTCCTTGATGTCATCCCACATCTCATGAGGTCTTTGGTCAATAGTGTTCAACTTATCAGATCTAATATTAAGATGGTCTCTCAATTCAGGTACAATTCAAGGTCATAGTTTGGCTCTCTTGAACTTGTTTTAATTTTCTTTAGCTTCAACCTGAACTTTCCTATGAGCAACTGATGGTCTGTTCCACAGATGATCCATGTTTTCACTGATGATATTGAACTTCTCCATTGTCTCTTTCCGCAGATCTAATCAATTTGATTGATGTGTATTCCATCCAGTGAGGTCCACATGTGTAGTGACCCATTAAGTTTTTCAAAAAGGGTATTTGTAATGAATAAGTCATTGATCTTGGAGGATTCTATCATGCTTTCTCCTGTGTCATTTCTATCACCAATGTCATGTTTTCCAACTACTGATCCTTCTTCTTTGTTTCCAACTTTCACCTTCCAATCACTAGTAATTATCAATGCATCTTGATTGCATATTTGATCAATATCACACTGCAGAAGTTGGTAAAAATCTTTAATTTCTTCATCTTTGGCATTATTGATTGATGTTTAAATTTGAATAATAGTCATATTAACTGTTCTTCCTTGTAGCCTTGTGGATATCATCCTATCACTGACAGGGTTGTACTTCAGGATAGTTATTGAAATGTTCTTTTTGATGATGAATTTGTCATTCCCAGCATTGTGGACCATATGATTATCCAATTCATAATCGCCAATACTGTTGTTGTTATGTTGTTGTTATTTGCCATCGAGTCGGCCCCGACTCATAGCGACCCCTCCTTGGGTTTCCGAGGCATTATCACTACGGAAGTAGGAATGCCCAACCTTCCTTCCGAGGAGTGGCTGGTGGGTTTGAACCACCAGCCTTCTGGTTAGCAGTCAAGTGCCTTAGGCACTATGCTACCAGAGCTCCCATCGCCAATACTAGTCTGTTTTAACTCACTGATGCCTAGGATATCAATCTTTATACGTTCCATTTCATTTTTGATGACTTCTCGTTTTCCTAGATTCATACTTCGTACATTCCATGTTCTGATCATTAATGGATATTTGAAGCTGTTTCTTCTTCTCATTTTGAGTCATGTCACATTAGCAAATGAAGGTCTCAAAAGCTGTATTCCATGCAACCCATTAAGGTTGATTCTACTTTGTGGAGACAGTTCTTCTCCAGTTGTATTTTGAGTGTCTTCTAACCTGAGGGGCCAATATTTTCAGAAGTAGATTGTCAAGTCCTTCTTTCTAGTCTGTCTTAGTCTAGAAGCTCCACTGAAACCTATCCACAATGGGTGACCCTGCTGGTATTTGAAATACTGTTGGCATAGTTTCTAGCATCGCACAAGCTACCATGGTATGACATAGTAACAGACGAGTGGTGATCTCTTTCTTAGATATTTGGAATTACCCTGTAAAGCATAGATGCATCTAGCAGGTACCTGTCTACATGAAGGGTTTGGGAATGAAAGGGAAAGCATGCCTAAGTTCTTTAGGCAGGGTGGACTACAGGTCTCTGGGCATGCGGAGGGCTAAAACACAGAATATTGGCCTCAGGGAACAGCCAGGCCAAACCTAATCAATAAGAGTGGAAACTCTAACAGTGCTTTAACATTTTGTCTTTTTGACCCCAGGTTCTCTGTCATTTTTGTATTCCTTGGTGCCCTGATCATCACATCAGTTCTTTTGCTTTTACCCCGAGCCAGTGAATCCCCAACCCCGGAAGTGGAAACTCAGGTAAAACTGTTGGTTTAATTTTGCCTCCTGCTTTTTAACTCTGTTTTTCTTGACCTAGACCTCCACCCTGCCCTGTAGTGGTTCCTAATGTCAGATTAGCTGAAAAGTGTTAGAAAAACTGTAAAGTTAAAATAATGGACCTTTATCATCTCTCTCCAGAAGGCTGGCGGTTCAAACCCACCAGCCACTCCTCAGAAGGAAGGCTGGGCAATCTATTTCCGTAGTGAAACTGCCTCGGCAACCCAAGGAGGGGTCGCTATGAGTCAGGTCTGACTCGATGGCACATAACAACAACAACAATCATCTCTCTCATAATCCTTCTCAGGAGACTCCTCCCATTCGTTTCTGATTTGGGGCTCTGGCCCACATCAGGGGCTCTGACTTTACCATGCATGTTGTTACAGACCCGACTCATAGCAACCCCTCCTTGCATTTCTGAGATGGTATCACTACAGAAGTAGATTGCCCAACCTTTCTTCCAAGCTTGATAATAGCATTGACTTCTTATGCCCTATTATTCCTTCCTATTATAGCTTCTTTCCTCTGAACTTCCTTTTTAAGATGGTACTGATCATAGCTAACATTTTTCTGGGGATTACTTGTGCCAGGACCTATACTAAGCATATTATTTGCACCATCTCATTTAAGCCTAAGGACAACCTGAACTGTATACTATTATTAGCCACATTTTATCAGCAAGGAAACTGAGGCTTTAAGAAATTAAGATAACTTGTCCAAGGTCATACATATGTATGAAAAGCAGCAACACAAAGATTCAAACTGAGGTCTGCCTTCAAAACCTGAATTTTAACAATTAAGCTTTGAAAAAATGCATTGTCTTTTGTTATAATAAGTTCCTCAACCTGCCATTTGACCCTTCTTGTCTACTTTCCTCTTCAAATGGCATTCACTTCACCTTTATCCTCTCTCTGGAGCTCTGCTGGTGCAATGGGTAAATCATTCAGCTGCTCACCAAAAGGTAGGCCATTCAAACCCACCAGCTGCTGTATGGAAGAAAGATGAGGCAGTTTGCTTCCATAAAGTTTGCAGCCTTGGAAACCCTATGGCACAGTTCTACTCTGTCCTATAGGATTGTTATGAGTCAAAATCAACTCAGTGGCAATGGGTTTGGTTTGGTTTTGGTCCTCTTTCTACTGGGCCAAGATGTCAGTATTTGGATATTTTCTCTCAATATGCAGAAACTCCTACTAAGCTACAATTTTTTTTTTTTCATATAATGGTTCACAAAATTACAATTTTTGAACTAAAATTGACACAGACTTCTTAGTCTACCTAGGACTACCAATGGCAAAGGAAGGAAATTAGTTCTGAAAATTCCAAGGAAAATAATACTTACCACACAAATTTAAGGAATTCTTTCCATGCCTGCCAGATTTTATCAGCATTTGTAAACTTCTCCCACCATCTAAGTACCATCTATGGGAGCTCAGGTGTGAATTCCCACCTCAGTTTCCCTGTCTTTTAAATGGGAAGAGTGAGGTAGGCTGCCCTATTTCTGGATTGCTGCATATGTGAATATTGAAAGGCAACCGCAGAGCAAATGCTATTCTGAAATCAATCCCTCTGTCCTCTGTCATGTGCGTTTCAGACCCAGGAGGGAAGAATGGAGTTTAAGCAAAACATGCTCATCAGCAGAGTTAGAATTCTCATTTTCAGGTTTTGAGAACTGGGCCCTGCAGCAGCCTGGCTCGATACTGTATCAATAATACATGACCTGGGTCTTCTGCACCCAGGGCCTGCTAATTGGCTAATTAAAAAGTGAAACTTGTCAAACAAGCAAACATGTAGCCTAGAGAGACTTGTTCAGTACTGGAGCCAAGGTCAAACTGACCTTTGTTGTAAGTTGAGTGTTGAGGTAATCTCTGGAGCAGCTGAGATGTCTGCATCCCTTGTCTTCTTGGTATCTTTGGGTCTCAGTGATCCTACCAGTGCCTGTATTTGACACGTGCTTTGTGTATCGATCACTGTATTTGTTTCCTATAGTACTGCTCTAGCAGGTTACCACAAACTTAGTGGCTGAAACAACACAAATGTATTATCTTACAGTTCTATAGGTTAGAAGTCTAAAGTCAGTCTCACCGGGCTAAAAATAAAGGGCAGGTCTATTTCCTTCTGGAGACTCTAAGAGAGAATCCATTTCCTTGCCCTTTCTAACTTCTAGAGTCTGCCCACATCCCCTGGCTCATCGGCCCTTTCTCTGTCTTCAGAGCTAGCAATGTAGCTTAGAATCTGCCTCCATCTCTTTCTCTGACCCTCTCATATACTTTTAAGGACACTAGTGATACATTAGGCTCACCTAATCTCAAAGTCAGTTGATTAGCAACCTTAATTCCCCTTTGCCATATAGTCTAACACGTTAATAGGTTTCAGGGATTAGCATGTGAACACCATAGTGTTTTGGAGGGAAGGGGAAGCATTATTCCATCTACAATCACCTTTCAGGTATTTTGGATTCTCTTCTAAGTACTAGATTCTTAAAGCTTCTGGAAGCTATGAACTCATCCAGTCACTTTGTTTCTGTTGCTACTCCATTAGGTCAGTAGATTAAATTGCTTTTTCCTGTTCACATGTAAGCACCACCATTTGGATCTGGGGAGAGTACAGCTCTGGCAGTGTGTAGTAGAGAAGTGATAGAGCCAACACCAATTGTAGGTTTTTGTCAGCAAAGGCCAACAGCATTGGGTATCTAGTATGACTAGTTGCCAGGGAGCCAACTATGTGGTTTGGGGCAAGGTACCTATCTTCTTCATGTTTTAATATCTCAGGCAAATGGCCATTTTCCCTAGAATGCTGGGTAATGAATGTTCAAGTTAAGAGCCCTTCTTGTGAAAGCTTCAGAGAATGATCTTTACATTTTGAAAATGAACCCTCCTGGTTGGCAGTGAGGTTGATGATTGTTGGGCCTGGCTCTTGAGTAAAAGGGGATTTATTATACATACTATTACATTTTTATATATGTTAGAAATTCTTCATAATACAAAGTTAGCAACAGCAGCAAAATAAGCCTTTGTAGGACCAATCAAGCTTCTCATTAACTCATAACTGATTTCAGAACTTTTATGTTCTGAACTCACACAGGAACTTCAAAGTGTTTATGAGCATCCTAAATTAAGCCATTTGTTCCTGGTGTCTCATTAAACCTTCCTTTACCTTGAATCTCCTGTTCAGAGAGTTGAGAAAAAATTCCTTCCTATCCATTTAAAGAGGAGCGTCAAGCCAGAATATTATAGGAAGTTATAAATATGAACAAACTCATGGTCCATTCATCACAGAGTTCAGAGTAGCCCCAGAGTGCCAAAGTGATAGTAACTGCGTTTTGATGTTTTCTTTCTCCAGATTGTGGATGCCTTTTTCATTGGCCGCTATGCCCTGCTGGCTTGCCTCACTGCTGTTTTTTTTGGTGGCCTCTTCTTGGTTCTAATTCATCATATCCTGGAACCTGTCTATGCCAAACCACTTCGATCATCATGATTGGTGTTCAGGAAAACTGAGATACTGTTCTCTCCATTTGATGAGCAGATAATCACTCTTCAGAGAGGCTTATTTTGACAGACTTCATGCTTTAAGGTCTAAGGAATCTCCATGTATCACTGATAAATCCCTTGAGTCATGGGTTCCAAAATCAGGGTTGCAAAATTATTCCTGTGAGGATAAATTCTTACCAGCTTAAGCAAGAATGGTGCTGTCTTCTTACCACCAGTACCTTAAGTTTCCCATCTGTTTCGAAAGGGAAAAGGTAATAGTGATGCATTTAGAGTAGATTTTCAATCAAGATGTTACTAAGTGGATTTTGGGAAAAGGAGCATTTTGGCTTCTGTTGTCAAATACGCAGAGGAACCTGACCCTTTTGGATGATATGTAAAATTATACATTGAATGTACTGATGCATTGAAATGATCAGAAGATGGTTTGAAAAGGAAAGGTACTCAAAGTTCAAAAAGGTTATTTTAATGTGACTATTTTAAGATTTTTTATTATGTTTTGGGTGCTTATTTATAAAGCAGATTCATTTTACTCTCAACAGTTCATGCATATTTGGTTTCACGGTCCCTATTACAATCCAAAGGAGGGGTTGCTATGAGTCGAATCAACGCCACGGTAGTGAGTTTGGTTTTTCATTTCAATCCCAGCAATAAAAAGTTCTCCTATCTCCCCCCTGTGACTACCCCTTCCCTGTGTTCTTCTTATCTATGCATTGCTGTTTGTCCAGCTTTCCCTCTGCGTAAATGCTGCCCTTCTGATCGCTCACGGTCAATTGATCTAAGGAGTGTGTCTCCCTAGGGTAGTGGGTACATCTCTCTGGGGTAGCTGTTCTGCTTGTAGCCCTTTCTACTGTTTGGCTGAGAGCTAATCCATAGAACTTTAATGTGAAAATTTAGAAGACTTATTCAGATGTTAGCAATTGGCTACTCTGTGCATATTAGCACACAGAACTCTAAAGGCAGGTGGCCTCACTTCCCTCTGAGCAAGACAGAGACAGTAACCAAAGGGCCGGCTGTCACTGCAAACTCTTGGTCACAGCTTTTGGAATCTATTTTAAGTTTGTTTGAGGATTAAAGGAAGAGTATGGAGATGTTCTTTTTTTGTCTTGCTGCTCTGTACTTTCTGAGTTCATTTTCCTCTGGGATTTGATGATCTCTGTGTGTCTTATTTAATTATTATAATAGTCCCTTCTGAGTTATTATCGTCTCTCTTCATCTTTGTAACCCTTTCTCCAAAGCTGGTGAGGAATATACCTTCTCAGGTCTAGATAGAATTTTATAGTTGTCTGAGAGCCTAGACAAAATTAGGCTTGTTATTAAGTGGAGGGGCGCTGGGCTGGTCTGCTTTGGAAGACTCATCCTAAATCCCTGAGCTATTTGAACAGTTTTCTGGCCTAAAATTAAGAACCAGAAAATAATTTGGAAAGAGAGTGTTAAATGAGCACAGGCTATATGCCAGTAGTATACTAGTTGCTTTGAAATTTATTTAATTCTTCCACCAACCTATTTATCATCATCCCTATCTTAAAGTAGAAAAAAAAAATTGAGGATTAAAGAGATTAACTAACTTGCCTAAGCTTCACATAACAGGAAAACAGTATGCAAACCCAGGTTTGGCAGACTCCAAAGCCTGTCTAGCACTAAGAAGAAAACAGATAATTATTTTTTTTTAACTTCAGGAGCTTCAGGTAGGTTATGGCCATTTCTCCTTAACTCTCTCTCTCTCGTCTCCTTATCAATGTAGGCACTCAGTCCTGCTACCCCAGAGTTGGTAAGCTCTAAAGCAAAAGAGGAACTCATGACTTTTGAGAGTCAAGGGCTGGTGAAGGTCAGGTGTGGTTATCCCTACGCTTGAACAATATCTTACTCAGTTTGAAAAAACTTTGCCAATAAGGCTTTATCACAGAAGGCTTCAAAGGAAATAGTTTCCTTAATGTGGTCCAGGACCTGTAGGGAATAAAAGAAAGAAGAAACTTCCCTCCAAGCAGATTAGAGGAGAGAGAGGAGAATGCTGAAGTGCTGAGGGAAGAGGGGCTAACTGGGGGGTTTCAGCCCTTTGCTCCTTTGTGAACACTTGTGCCGAGCCTCCAGTGATCTGTATCCCCATGCAGAAGAGCCAGCCCAAGTGGAGCATGAGTCCCGACAAGCACAACCTGCCATTTGTCACCTTCTGTGAGACTTCTTGCTGAAAAGCAAGTCTGGGAAAACTCTTGCACGTTGCTGACCATGAATCTATCTTTTTCATTTCCCAAAAATGGTGTCCAACGTTAGCCGTGAAGGTTTGAGTGACTCTTTTCATGGAGAAAAGTGTGTTAAGGTTGAAACTAAACTCCTTCCCGAACACCACTACTATCATCTAATGTTTTTTACACACATGTGAATGACAGGCTTGGATGTTAAGGGCTGGCTTTTGGGGAAAAAAAAAAAAAGTATTTTGTGTTAAGTGTATTTCACTCTGTAAGTATAAATGAATGATAGATTACTGTCTACCAGCACAATCAAAGCAGTCTTATCCCTGAAGAACACCCATGGGGTTGGAATAAGAAGTAGAATGCCATGAGGGCACAAAATGAATTTTACTGAGAGTTCTGCATACCCACCAAACCCCATAATCAGTGTTGTTATGATACCTCATATACTCACAACCTTCCTGGAGATCATCCCTTAAGTACAATCAAACCATCCTCGTGTCCCATTATTCATTCTTTGGTTGTACTGTACTGGCCCCTACCCAGAGAGGACCTCAGGCAAAGAGACTGTAGTGATCCTGTTTAGAAGGTGGGGGAGAGAGTAAATATGGGATTCTATGTAAGAAAACAAGGAGCTCTGGTGGTGCAGTGCCTAAGGCACTTGACTTGACTAGTAACCAGGACGTTTGCAGTTCAAACCCACCAGCCACTCCACAGAAGGAAGACTGGGCAATCAATTTCTGTAAAGATTCCCACCTCGGAAACCCAATGGGGGTTGCTATGAGTCAGAACTGACTTGATGGCAATGGGTTTGGTTTGGTTTATTTAAGAAAACAGCTTATTTCATAGCCTTTTAAAATTGTATTCTGACAAAAGCTAAAAGAGCAGGATACTTCCTCAATAGACGTCTGTTCAGTTAGTTGGTGCTGTGTTCTGTTTTAGAAGTTTCTCAAACCAGCAAAATACAACCTGTGGTCCTGACCTTATTTTTGGGTAACCTTTCAGTTTCTCATATTTCTCAGTATAAAAATGGAAGTAAAGCTAGTAGAATAATGAAACAAGATCCTTACCTCACACAATAGCAAAATGATGGAAAGAACCTAGGTGTCCATCAACAGAAGCGTGGATAACCAAGCTATGGTACATTCACAGTAGCAAAGAGATGGAAACAACCTAAGTGCCCATCAACTGAGGAATGGATAACCAAGCTATGGTACACACACACAATGGAATACTATGCAACCCTAAAGAATAATGTAGAATCTGCAAAACACTGCATAACATGCATGAACTTGGAGGACATTATGCTGAGTGAAATAAGTCAATCACAGAAGGAAAAATATTGTATTAGTTCATCATTGTAAAAAGTCACAGAAAGGTTTATACATGGAAGGAAACTTTCTTTGTTGGTTACCAGGGGTGGGAGAGGAGGTGAGGGAACATTGCAAAAATAAAATTTTTTAAAAAATGGAAGTAAAGCTAACATTCTTTATTAATACATGGTATCAGATCTTTAATCTAAAACTTTACCAGAATTATTGTATCAATGTTCAAGTACCATCCCTGGCACCAGAATGCATAGCCACTCATTCATAAATACAGCATGTATTGCTATTCATTCAACATTTATTGTATGCCTATTGGGTATAGGAATAAGGAACTCTGGTTGCAAAGTACCTAAGGCATTTGACTGCTAACCAGGAGGTTGGTGGTTCAAACCCACCAGCCACACTGCAGAAGGAAGACTGGGCAATCTACTTTTGTAAAGATTACCACCTCAGAAACCCAATGGGGATTGCTATGAGTCAGAACCGACTCGATGGCAGTGAGTTTGCTTTTTTTTTTAATTGGATATATACCACTGTTTCTACTGATGTAATCCAGTTGAACTAGGTTCTGAGGTGCTCAGGCTGTCTTCTAACTCCATGCCAGGATGAAACCATCCAAGTTATTATTATTTAAAAAAAATGTTTTATTATGGTTTGAGTAAAAATTTACAGAGCAAATTTATTTTACACTCAACAGTTTGTTTATTTACATTTTATTTTGTGACATTGATTACAATCCCAACAATGTAACAGATTTCTTCCCACTTCTTCCCTGTGGTTACCTTTTTTCCTGTATCTTTTCCTATGCACTCCTGCCGTCTGAGCTTTCTCCCTGCTCAAATGCTGCTCTTCTCATCTTCCGTGGTTGATTGTTCAACTCATTGGCCTATTATGTGGCTGAAATGTAGGCCACAGAAGCGAGTTTAATTCCAGGTCCAAAGACTGACCAGTCATTATCAGACCAGAGGCCTGGTCCTTTTTTTTTTTTTAATGATTTTGGGTTTCTTTCCATATTTTTCTCTCACTCTGTACAGGATATTCAATTTTGGTCCCTTTCTGAGTGATTGGCAGTGGTAGCCAGGCATTATCTAGCTCTTCTGGTCTCAGGGTCATGTAAGCTGAGGTTCCCATGGTGTTCTAATCCCCTGGACTAATTATTTCCATATGACTTTGATTTTCTCACTCTTCCTTGCTCTGGATGAGGAGAGACCAATAGTTGTATCTTAGATGGCCACTAGCAAGTTTTTAAGACCCCAGTTGCTACTTACCAAAGAGGAGATAAAACAGTGTTTTATGTAGTATATTATGCCAGGTGAGTTTGATGTCCTCTGTGACCATGGTCCTGAGCCCACAGGTCCAGCGACTCACTCCCTCAAGGTGTTTGGTTGTGAGTAGTAAGTTATCGTAACTTTGCCCCTTGTTTGCTCTGTTACAGATATGGACATTTTTATAGTACATACAAATATGTCTGC